CGACAGATTTGACATGGAAGACTGCTCTTGAAAGTACCGCGATCCCAACGAATAACACTTCGATCCATTTCCAAAAAACAGAAGAATATTGACAGCACAAGGATCTAGTAACATTTTCCCCAGGGATAAGTCTCGGGACACTGCACTGTTATGTTAACAGTAGTAACAGGAGATATTACCGATCCATTTTCCCATTAAACCAACGAAAACAGCCATCAAGCCGTTTTTGACTGACACCAACAAGGACAGCAAATGAAATTTGCGATTAAGTTCGTTGGTACGAGCTTGGAGTTCAACAGCATGCTCGAATATGTGCAGTTGGACGAAAAATGGTTCTACATAACAAAGATGAACCGAACAATCTACCTTGTGCCTGGGGAGGAGAAGAAACATCGCACATGTAAAAGCAAGAGGTGCAATACAAAGGTCTAGTTTCAATGTGCTGTCTCGTCCTCGTTACGACTCTGCTACCGAAACTTGATGGGACGGCAAGGTCGGCATTTGACCGTTTTTAGTGTCTGTTAGAGCGCAGCGTTCCAGCGCCAATCGCGTGGCCGGGACTATTGAAACCAAGACTATGACTGTGACAAAGGACATCAATCGTCCTTTCTAGGTCGAGAAAGTACTGCCTGCAATCGTTGCCAAGTGGCCAGGTGACACCGTGTCGTGAAGTTGCAACACGACGGTGGCTGTGTCTATGTACCCCCGTAAGACTCGCTGCTGAACGAAGCCATGGCCAAGTACAAGTCTCTTAGACGGTCGATATCGCTTGCACCACAACCATCGAATTCCCCCGACACCAACGTTTTGGACTTGGGTTTCTTCGCAGCCATCCAGTCCCTACAACACCGCAAGTCAGCACGCAGCATTGACGAACTGGTTGCTCATGATGAAGAAGCCTGCACCGCTTACCTGTACGAGAGACTGAACCACACGTTCATATCGTTGCAAGCGTGCTTGGTTGAGACGATCGGGGTTTTCGGGGACAATGCCTACAAGTTGCCTCACATCGCCAAAGAGAAGCAAGAGCGCAAAGGTCTGTTACCTTAAAATGTGTCGTGTCCACAGGATGTTTTCGACACCGCAAAGGCAAGGTTGACCGGAATGTCATCCGCTGAGTTGGATCGTGTGTCGCAGCCGAGCTTAAGGAGGCCCGCTGCGTCGAAGAGCTGTCCCAGGCACTGGAAGCCATTGCTATGTGCGATGGTCTTTTGTTGTAGGTACAGGATCGCAGCAAAGTAGCCCAGGTCCAAGGTATTGGTGTCCGGGGAGTTTGACGGCTGGGAGACGAGCGAGAAATCCCAACCTTTCTTGCCGTATTCGTCGAAGGCGGCCTTGAGTTGCGTGTCCATGGGGTGACGTGGGCCCGGGCATTGTCGTGCTGTAGCACCACCGTCTTGTCGGGGCTTGGCCATTTTGCCGCAATCGAGGGTAGGACTTTCTCGAGAAGGAAGACACGAAATACATCCTTTGTAAGCGCGATGGACTTGGTTTCGTAGGAACCAGCCGGGCAGTTGATACTGGCGCGTTGAGCTGGTACTGACTCGAAGAACGACCACGTGCCTATCTTGCCATCCCACCACGTGCTCGTTTCGTCGATGCATCTTGGGCGCAACAGCACTGAGGAACACAACGCTGGTAATGTACCTTTTGCTTCTACAGGTTCGTTGTGGTTCGCGTTCCACAGGGACGAGGTAGTACTTACGAGTGGTCTTTGCTAGATAAAATCACTTCTGGTTTAGATGCACGAATGTAGCATGTCCGACAGAAGCATATCAGCCTTAACCATTACCATGGCAAACTTGAGGCGACAGTATTTGTTAGCGTCCGTTAGCACTGGACGTATCGCATTGGAGTGGGCACGGAACAACCCGAGTTTCAAGTATCGGTGCAATGAACCACGACTTATTCCTATTAAATGCTTAGATGAAGTTGCATATCCTGTCATACCAGTGTTTTCAGATATTGAACGAAGCGTTGTTCGTTGTGCAAGAGGCACCTGCAGCAGTTTGACCTAAACTTGCTCGGCAGTGTAAGCTATTTTTCTGCCTGCTTTGCCTTTATTTTTGTTTGCTACAGACACTTTCATGTTACCAAGAGAGACGTCTTGGGCCTTGGCCAACGCAATGATTCGGCGTATAGTAGACACGTGCCAATGGTACTTTGCTGCCAGCAACTGACTTGTGCCTTTAGGCAGCCGGGTGGGAAAACCGTTGTTGCTTTGGAGCAGGACTTCCCGAAGGATGGCTTCACGCTCCTCGTCAAGTCGGGCCGTGTTGATGACATTTTGAATGTGTGTCATTTCTGATGTATGCTTTATATGGAAGTTTGTATGCTGCCTTTGACTCGGCAAAAATGTCCGCGTTTTTGAGATTCGTGCTCAAACTTTACTCACTTAGAAGCGCGTAAAATTACAGTGATACCTCACATTTTGCACCCCACTCAAAATGAATCAACTGCATAATATGATTCGACGTCAAGTACTTGATGTGTAAATTTATGTTTGCGTTTTCTTTGGGTTTCCATCCGTCTGTTAGAATTTATATTTTGGAGATGGTGCAAAATGTGAGGTATCACTGTAGTAAGCTCTTGGCGTGCTCTGTGCAATGATCCAATCAGAGGTGTCGAATCAAGATTTGAGGAGGCATACGCACAGCCTGAATTTATCTTCAAAATTTAATTGTCACCCTCAAACTCGCGCAATTTTTGTGGGGACAGAGGGAGTCCTTTGTTTTGTTTTGTATGCGATGTTAAGAATGGTTTGCAAAACAGCAGCAAGAGACGGCTAAGCACCCGGAAATTGTGCACACTGGAGCGAAATGGAAGTCGTGTGTATAATTTCGTGCGGGCGGTGCCCTGGCGAGTTGTGGGCCCATTCAGCGTGTCACCGACGTTCAATCTTTCCTCTCGTCGGAAAAAGCGACGCGTGGCCGCGCCACTCCTTGACGAGGCAGTACAGCGCACTCTCTCAAGTTACGTTCGATGAAATCTCGTGTTTGTGTTGGGGTCGTGTCACAATCTCCGAACGGTGATGGGGTGAACATATCACAGCCTCGAGTGGTTTAACGTTATCTGTACTTGTGGTTAATCTTGGAAACTGATGACGTTTAACAAGGAACAAAGAGAAACTGTGGAATGCAGGTGCAACTTCATATCACCCGGGCTCGTGTGGTAAGGGACTCGATTCGGTGTCACACGCCTCTGCGGCCCGACTGAGACACACTTCTGTGGCAAGACCGAGTGCGAAGGGGAGGGCTGCTGCCTTTCGTTCTTTGAACAACCACATGCATCCCTGGACTGTGTACACGATGGGCACGATTCGGTGTCCATGGCTGGTAGGGCGGCGTGTGTTTGCGGTCGTTGAAGATACTGCGACGAACAAGACGCTTTAGGTTCCCCACACGCGTATAGTCCTTCTCCGAACCCTGGGGTTCCTTCCACGTCATCGAGTGAGATCGAAGCCATGTGATGGGTGCATGCATCTGCTTGCCAGACCGGCAATCCAACGCACAATCAACCCTGGACAGACCCCATAGATCGGTTATCCAACGGACAATCAATTCTAATTGGTGGACACGCACCGGCAACTCTTGGCGCAGTGTGGTGCTCAAATGGAGCTCCTGTCTGACGAACTCGGTGCTCTTGATGGCGTCCCGGCAGTCGTGGAGGCTGCTCTGCATCGGACGGCAGAGTATACGCGCGGCAGGATACGGGGTGCGCCATGTCGCCGCCACATATGTCGTTGTGTGAGACGTTCGCCAGAATTCAAGTCAAATTTGAGGGAAAACAGATGTAAATGTTGAAAATATTTCGAGAAACGACATTGTGGTAAAATGGTGAAAGGACGCAATTGTCAATTTCCATTGTTCAAAGCCATGTTCAAAGCGCTGATTGTCCTCGGTCTTGCCGCACAAGCCGCCGCGTTCCCGAGCTTTGTCGCCCAGGTGCCAAACGGCGATAAAGTCGCCGGCGTGGGGGCCATTGGTCACGTCAACCCGGCGGGCGGCGGCGCGCGCAATGCGTTCGGCCAGGCCTTCTCGAGGGCCGGCACCAAATGGACGCCTGAGCTGTGCCAAGCCGATTCCGACGGTGACGGCGCCACGAACGGAGAAGAGCTCGGCGATCCGTGCTGCACATGGAAAGTTGGCGCGACGTTGAGCACGACCACGGCGACCCATCCCGGCAGAGCTGACACGTTCACCGCAGACCAGCTCAAGACGCTCAAGTGTACGACTAGTCCGTCGACGACGGCCAAGCCTCTTGTGAGTGCAGCAACGACATCTTCATCCGTTGTATTTGCAGTGGCAGCCGCAGCGGTTGCCTTGTTTGTTCAATAAAAACGAGCTCTTTCCGCTTCACGTTGGTCGTGGATGTAGCTCGCCTCCGCATCGCCTGCTGGATGCGTCCTTCCTGTCACCGCCGACGGATGGAGAAGCAGAAATGGGTATAAGCAACACCCGTGATGATGGTCAACCTGGAGGCACGTGGCCAAGATGGCACAGGCGCATTGTCGATTTGGTATGACCAGATCGATGTCGAGGCGGAGAAGCGCCTTCGTTCTCTGTGCGTCCCTGGACCGTATACGTGTTGGGCACCATTCAATGTTCATGACTGGATGGGCTGTGTGTGCAAGCACGCGTTTGACAGCGCTGCGATGTACAAGACGCCAAGGGCGACTCGAGCATGCCCCTTCTCCATACGCCAGTGGTGCCCATGGATGTTTGTATACCTCTTCGTACGTTGCGCCGCGCATGCAGCTTGATCGTGACGGAGTCTGTGCTTCCGCAAAAGAGCGCCTGCGGGATGGTGATACCTTGGTCAATTCACGCGGAAGAACTCGATGCATTGCTATACGAAGGGCCTCCATTTCATGTGCACAATGGCGCGGACAAGAGATATCCTCCAGCTCTCCAGAATGCGCAACCAGGAGCGCCAGCACTAGCATCTACATCCATTGAACACACGACTTCTGGGAGAAGCGACCCGTAACGGGACCTAGCCCTCCTGTGACGCGTCGGACGACGGTCGGCGCACTGGAAATCCCTCGTGATGAAGGCGACACGACGGCGCGCCGTCGATCAGTGAATGCGCTGACGTCGGGACGGCGCCCATCACGCAGTTTTCATGCACTCCTGCGCGCGGTGGAGGGTACGTTGCATTGGAACATAATGGTGCATCCCGCCGTGAACTAGAGTTCGTACGACGTAAGGCTGAACACGTTTGGGCAGTCCAACTTGACTTTGTGCACGGGCTGGTGGAAGTGAATTTGCGTCGAGTCCGAGTTGCGCTAGGAGGAAAAATCATCAAGACACGATGAGGGAATAAGGGTGAGATCACGCACGTGGACTTTCGTGACAGACGACACAACACAGCCGCACTCGACGACTTCAGCGCCCAATTCCTTCATGAGTTGGCATGTTACAAGCAGCGTGTTCCCCTATGCGATCACGGACGTGGGAGCGCAACGCGTAAGGGAATGAGGCAGTACCGTTGCCACCAAGTCGTCAATCACAACGACGCGACTGCCGCGAGGAATAGCGTCGTCGTGAACTTCATACCGGCCGTGGTAGTACCCTGACGTGTAGTCGATACCAATCGTATGTCCGGGCAACTTCCGCGCACGTCGAACAGGCACAAATGCACCTATTTCGGTCGCCCCTCATCTGTCACCAAACAATTTGCACGAAGGATAGATAATGGTACATTTCAAGGCAAGTGCGACGGGTGCACCAAACATAAAGCCGCGGGATTCGACGCTGACGATGTGGGTGATGCGTTGATCTTTATACCGCTTCGCAAACGTGTCAATCGTGACTTGAAATGCTTCGTAGTCCAGAAGCAATGTGGAGACATCCCTGCGAACGTGTCAGGACGACCAACTTAAGAAGAAGGGTGCCGCACCAAAAGTCCGAGCCAGGTCGTGGAAAATCAGGAATCGTGCGGATCTTTGTCTTGAGGTACTTCGACAGCTCCTCCGGGTCATCGAGAAGGGCAGCGGTCGGGGCAGGCGGCGGCTGCGTCATGTCAGATCTTGCACTCATTTTGAAAAATGTATCCGTCCTGCTTCCATATCCGGATACCATCCATTCCTCCCGTGTCTCCTTATGCAACCCGACCACGGACGGGGCTGGCACCGGAGTGTCCCTTTGGCAAGCACCTTTTCGAGCGTGAGTGCTGTGTGTGCATACAGCGTGTCCACGATCCCATCGTCCACTCGAGCGTCCCATCGCGTTCATTGTGGTGTCGCGTTGCTCATGGTGGTGCAAGAAAAGCATTGGCATGACGTTTCACTCGCTGTTTTGCAGGTGTGCACGAATTCAGCGGCCTCTGTGGTTCTTTCACAGGACAGATCGATTGCAGCATCAAGGTGAGGTGCATCATGTTCATGGCGCAGGGCAAGCGATGGTGCCGATGGCCGCTGGTCAACCGTTTCTTTGCAGCGTCGTTGCAACCTCCGATGGCATCCTCTTACTGAAATCAAGTGCAATTCTTGCAGTGGGAAATGTCGGATTGTCAACGGAATTCTCGTCGTGACGAGAGTGATAGCGCTTTTGTATGAGGCACTGTATGTTATCCGGAAAACGATCAAGCATGATATCATGGTTGCATTCGTCTTGGTACGACCATGAGACATCCGGATAACCAAGGTTGGAGACTTGCTTCTACACCATCGCAGAGTCCGGCGGGGTTTCGGTGCCGTGGCTGGTGAGGGTGACTTCATTCGTGCTGCCGAGTCCGTCCGGCATGCGAGCTGCACCGTGATCTAATGCACGTTAACTTGGTAGGCGAGTGAATGATGACGTCGTCAAGTATGCCCAACTACAGCTACGTAGACAACGTGTTTCGAACCACCATGGGCTTGGACGAACCGTGGTGTCGGATGAGCGTTGCCGACGTGGATTCGGTGCGATCGTCGCGGTCGCTATTGCAAGTTGGCCCGATCTTCTCGTACGTTCAACGACGATCATGACACATTCACCAACGACATACGTTGTCACACGCACAGGGACATGGCGCATTGGAAAGAACGCGCGAACGAGTCCATGCGCGTAGCCAGTCGTCGCACGATCCATCTCTTGGAGTCGCTGGAGATGAACCCCGTTGAACGCAAGGCCACTCAACGAGCGACATCCGCCACCTTCATCCAAGAGGTGGACGCCGAACACTTGCCGCTTGACGACCATGACCGTGACTCGGCCACAGTTCCCGTCGTTTCCCACTCGGGATGGCTCATCAAGCAAGCTAATCGCACCCGATCGTTCAAGCGCCGTCTCTTCTTCATCCTTGGGCAAGAGCTGGTGTACCATAAGTCTCACGAGTCGTCGTACGCCATTTCTGGCAAAGTGAACCTATCGTTGGAAGGCACAGCAGTGGCACGAGTGCCCAACTTTGGCTTCAAGTTGCTCCAGGGCTCGTCGACGATGCTTCTGTACGCGCTGAACGATGCCGACCGCGACGGATGGATTCACAAACTGAACCAGTGCGGGGTGCCCACCATCATGGACCCCACATCTCCGTCCAAGGCCACTGCCTCGTCTTTGTCCACGACGGAAAAGAGGGTGGTGGCAGCTGGTTGGCTGCGAAAGCAAGGACAAGTCTTCAAGTCTGTGAAGCGGCGCTGGTTTGAGCTCACCGGGGCAGGCGGGCTGTCGTATTACCGGAACCCTGAATCCACTAAAGCCAAGGGCCTGCTCGAGATCACAATGGCGTCTACAGTAACGCGACTCGACATGCGCAAGACCGGCGAGCGTTTTAGCTTTAGTATCACAAAGAACGCCTTGGACAAAAAGTCGCGTGTGCTGTTCGTTCACGCTGACAGCGAAGAGGATCGGTCGATCTGGATTGCCGCCGTGTCCAGCGTCATCTTCGGCGGCGTCGACGACTTGCCGCCAACCACCCTCTCGTCGCCGTTGGTGTCGACGGATGGAAGTTTTCTGGAACGGTCTCTGAGTGACGAAGTGTCCCCCGTGCACAGCCAAACTGCAACCGACGACGTTGCGCCCGTCAGAGACGACAGCGACTTCCTGAGAGACGTCGCTCGCGAAGCCCAGCTCATCTTGATCTCGCCGTACTCACCGGAAGGCACAACCAGGTAGGTACCTGAGTGAATGGGACAGTGCATGGGTGTTTGTTGTGGCCCACCAAGTGTTCGGGTATTGGCCTGCGCTTGGGGTCACCCCTGGTGACGGATGGTCTTGAATGGGATGGTCATGTTTTGTGGATTCTGTTGGTTGGGTAAAACAGGTTGTGGAGTTGGCGAGAGTTTGCATGGATGTTGATGGCGGCGCCGTGCCGTTGCGGCTGGGTACATCTTAAATGTGTAGCTTTGCATGCATGTCGTCGAATGGTAGTGCTCATGGCGAGGTGCTAGCGAGAATTTTCTCAAGACAGTGCACCGCAAGACGTTGTGCTTGCAGTCCATTCGGCGGTTCATGGAGGGCTTGATGGAGTACATGGTGACGACGCGGATGCACTACTTTTGCGCGCTGTGCGGAGACACGGCCGTGGGGACCGAGGAAGGGCTGTTTGACGCGATTGCGGCCATCATTTCCGAGCAAGTCGAGGAGCGCGTGTTCTCGCCGATCCACAAAGTCGTGTACCAAGTGCTTGTCCCAAAAGCCGAGTCGAGAGCCATGAAAGATCGACTCGAGTTGCTACAGGGCCGAAAGCAAGCGTACTTTGGCATCAACCCGCAGTCGCCGTCCGGGTACGCGGCGGCGGTCGAAGCCATGACCGCCATCGATTGCCAGAGCCTTCCATCACGCAAGCGCAAGCAATTAGTTGTCGCGTGCAAAACGATCTACGCCGTGGCGGCCGCGGAAGGCTTGTACCCGGCAGCGGCCATGAGCGCCGACGACTTCATTCCCGCATTCATCTACGTCGTTGTCCAGTGCGGCGTCGAGGATGTCCTCATGCTCAAAGAACTCCTCGTGGCGTTCCCCCCCGTGTCCGATACGGGCGAGACAGCGTACTTTGTCACGTGCTTGGAAATCGCCATCGAGTACGTCCAGTCCCTTGTGCTCCTCCAAGAGCTCGAACTTGACGGCGACCGCCCCCTCGGTCTCGAGTTTGCCGTGGTCGAGCCGAGCGTGCTGGTGGTGACGGATGTCGCGCCCAACTCGCAAGCCGCCGTCTGCGGCCACATTCACACGAACGACGTCCTCATGACAGTCAACGGCAACTCGGTTCACGACCGATCGGTCGCGGACCTGGCGAAAGTGCTGCAGGCCGCGCAAGGCCCAGTCGCCCTCGCGTTTGTCAACATGAAAGACTACAAGAAAGTCAAGGCGTCGCTCGCCACCAAGTCGTAGTTGACCCTACAAATAATATTTATTGCAGGTTGTCGTTGCATTTATCGAGAAGTAGGCCGACTGTGCGTGGCGGTGCGCAGTTCGGCCTGCGTCCTGTGCTCCCCATGCCATGTCGAAGGGCAGGCAGTCGGTCGCGAGTGGAACTGTTGCCTGCGCATCCTTCTCGTTCGATTGCTGTGGCAGGTCTATTCGTCGTGCCTCCAAGGGATGGCCAAGCACGGGAAGGGTTCAATAGGTTGTGTTGACACGATTTGTTAGAACGTCTGTCGTCGGGCTGTCTCGAGCATGTCAGCTTGAACCATTTCGTGGACCAAGTCGTGGAAGGTCGTGGAAGGCTGCCACTGCAGCACCCTGCGGGCTTTGGACGCGTCGCCGAGGAGGAGGTCGACTTCGGCCGGTCGAAAGTACTTGGGGTCGACACGAATGACAACTCTCGCGGACGGGTCGTTGGCGACGACGCCGACTTCGTCGACGCTACCCTTCGGTCCACCTTCCCACCGAATCGGCAATTCCACCGCGGCAAACGCAATTTCGACAAACTCCCGCACGCTGTGGCACTCTCCAGTCGCGAGCACAAAGTCCTACACCAACTTGTTCACAACTGGATAGACGACAAGCGACTCAAACCTCGGGCGTATCGAGCTGGAGCATCTGCCACATCCCGACAACAAAATCCCGCGCATGGCCCCAGTCCCGCTTCGCGTCGAGGTTTCCAATGTACAGGCAGTCTTCGATCCCAGCACGGATCCGCGCCGCGGCGCGTGTAATCTGCGGCATCCATCAGGTCATTGGAGCTCTCGATTGGAGCGACGTTCGACGTCGAGAGAGGCACTTGCCTTGCGCGTGACAAATGTCGGGCCTCGCCTCGGACTCTCGTGGTTGAACAAAATGCCGTTCACACAATACATGTCGTACGCTTCACGGTAATTGACCACCATCCAGAACGCGTACTGCTTGGCGACGCCATACGGTGATCGCGGGTGGAATGGCGTGTCTTCGTTCTGCGGCACGGTCCGCACTTTGCCAAAGAGCTCAGACGTGGACGCTTGGTAAAACCTACGAAGCGCCAAATGACAATGGGATGCCAGTTCACCAGGGATATGAAGCGTACTTGGTGCCGGGGCGACCGCAGGTTCGAATCGCATTGAGAAGGCGCAACGTCCCGATGCCGTCGATGTCGGCGGTGTATTCTGGCATTTCAAACGAAACCTTGACATGGGACATCGCGCCCAAGTTATACACTTCATGCGGCTGGACCGTGGACACGATCGAGCACAGATTGCTGCTATCGGACAGGTCGCCGTAATGGAGAAATAGACGCACGCCATGCAAGTGAGGGTCTTTGTACAGGTGGTTGATGCGTTCTGTGTTGAACGAGCTCGAACGACGAATGATGCCGTGGACGATGTACCCCTTGGACAAGAGCAGTTCCGACAAGTAGCTTCCATCTTGACCAGTGATACCCGTGATAAGCGCCACGCGGTCCAAGCACGCATACTCCTTTGTTGGATCAAGGGCGTACCCGCTAGGGAGTCGTTGGCGAGCTGTCGGCTGCGTCGGCGCTGATGTGTCGGTACATGAACCGAGCAAGGCCATCTTCTCCTTGTGCAATCCTTGGATATGGCATCCGGATAATATGACCCGCATTTTTGATCCGGTTGATCTTCTCCGGATGAGTTGTCGAGTGTTGGTCCAAATGGTGGTCATTTTGGAAATCGCCATCCACACCCTTGACCATGGTGGCGTCATCGCTCCTTGTTCGGCGACTCCTTGCCAAGCAAGCGCACAAGCTCGCGGCAGTAGCGCCATGCACAAGAAGCTTCTCTTCTCACTCTGCAGACGTCTGGGAAACCATCACACGTCGCGATGGTGCGAAGCACGTCGAGTTGGAAAGAGATGACGGGTTTGTGAATAGGACAAACCGTGTACTACAACCGCGTGACTAAAGAGAGCACTCGCACGAACCCGTTCGCTGCCAACAACACCGCCTCGACTTTGTCTGATACCACATCTCTATCAACAGTCTCGACATTACCTCCCCCTGTCTTGGAAACGCCCCAAGACTCGACAAAGTCCTTAGAAAATGCCGTTGTGTACACACCAATCGACTTTTCCAAAGCCGCTCAAATCGTGGGCCAAGAGTCTCAACTGTACGTTGTTCATACCTGCCTGTCTACCAAGTCTCATTCTGCTTCGTAGGGTTCATGTAGGTTGCTGACCCTATTGCTCGCATCGTCAGTTGAATGTGCATCACGGTTGCGCACTGCATTAGATCACGTTGGAACCAAATCAAAAACTGCGCGCGGAAAGTGGCGCCATGATTTATATGACCGATGGTGTCGTGATGGACACGCACACCGCCGGTGGCGTGCAGCAGGGATTGAAGCGGTAGGTTTTGCCTTCGACCGCCACGAGCAATGTCGCCTCAGTTGCAACTAGGATGATGACGGGTGAAAATTTCTTTGTGACCGAGTACACGTACACGGGGGCGACGTCCGGCCAAGTTTGCCTCGGCACGTCGGTTCCGAGCAAGGTACTGCATGATAATCTCGTCTTGGCAGTTCTCTGCCAAGAAAGATGCCGCGTAACTCACGGGCGTTCCCTGCAGATAATCCACATGAACTTGGCCGATTTTGGCGGGGCGTTGGTGTGCCAAAAAGGCGCCTTCATCGCTGGGTCTCACACCGTCGGCATCGAAATGGTCAGAGATTTCACGATCGAACGTCATGCCAGTAGCTCCTGATATCACGGGCGTGGTCATGTGCAGGAGTTTACGAAGAATTTCGGCGCGGGCTTCTTTGGGGGCCAAGGGTTCATCTTGCAGCGACTGACGGGACCAGGCGAAGCGTTTGTACGGGCATCGGGAGCCCTCATCGAGCGGACTTTGGTCCCTGGTGAAGTGCTGCGCATCTCGAGCGGTTGTCTTGTGGCGTTTGAGCCAACGGTGCAATTCGACATCCAGCGCATGCAAGGCGTCAAGAACGTCATGTTTGGCGGAGAAGGACTGTTTGTGACGACGCTGACAGGGCCGGGGCGAGTGTTCCTCCAAGGCCTGCCCTTTGATCGCATGGTGTCAGAGATTGCGAGCCGCGTACCCGCAGGCGGTGGAATGATGTTTGTGCCTGGATTTGGCGGCGGTAGTGTTGGCGGTGGCGACGCGAGAGGAGCTGCTGGCGAAGTTGCCGGAGAGGACGCGGCGACTGCGGACGTGCCCGACGTCGACTCGACGAAGGACTCGACCACGTCAGAGGAATCCATGTTTGGGTACGACGGCGCAGATGCTGAAACCGTGGGCGACGACCCCAATTCGTTTGTGACGGAGGAAGACGACGGCAGTGATTTGGGGGACGCTGCCGACGGCGTTGTTGACTTTCTTAAAAAGTGGTTCTAATCCAAGTACCCGAGGAAGCCACTGTGCCTTGGTGGCATCACCACCATGGCGTTCGTAGCTTGTATGGACGTCGGTGCTTGTGCTTGGCTCAGTGTGATCAAAGTTTTGAGGGCTTCGGCTCGACTTGGCAACGACGATAGTCCATGGAGATGTCGACTGTGTAAGTCGTTTATCGTGAACTGTCTTCTGCGATTACAACATGCCCAAGTTATGCAGCCAAGCTATTGCGACGTCGCAGGACACGACCGAGGCATGTGGGACGACTGCTTCGTTGTTCAGCACGCACGACATCCCGTGACATTGTTTTGCACCGGAGCGTGAAGCCACACAGGACGTCTCTCCTACTACACAGCCGCGCACTACAGGATGGCCGTGGTGGAACCGCCGCTCACTCAGGTTGTGTCCAGCTCGGCGACGCGTTAGCATCCATCGCTGTGACCGTCATCTCATTCGGCAACATTCCTCGACTTTAACGTATTTCAACATCACGTTTTTTTGTGCGTTTTAATGGGGTGAAAGGTTCGCCTCATTTCAATAGGTGTCGTACTTGAATGAATCGTACATAAGTTCTCGTCTGCCAACTGGACAATCCGTCCATCGAGCGGCATAAAAGCTGTAGCTTGCCACAAGACTGTCGCGCAAAGCGCAACACGCTAGAGCGAGTGGCTGCGCAGAGTGCAAAGACAGCGTCGACTCGCTGATCCTTGAGAACTCTTCGTGGTCGACAAAAGTTTCTGGTAGATTCGAGGCGCACTTTAAAAAGTCGTAACCGGTGGCGTCCAGTGGTTCGGAATGGACCAATCAGACGCCGTCGATCATTTCCCGGCGAGCGATCCATTTTTCAATTTGTCATGGCGGCGGCATCGGCTCCTCAGTTCGTGTTGGCGAACAACGACCTGGATGAAGGCCTCGGCCAGGACGGCCGCACGGCGCTCGAGATCTTCGTGACCAAGAACAACGGCGTCGGCTTGACCTACGATGACTTGATCCTCATGCCAGGTACTGTGCAGGCATCCTGGCCTAGTGGCCCCGAAATCTCACGACGTATTGTTGCAATGCAGGACACATCAACTTTGGCGTGGACCAGGTGGATTTGCGTACCCGAGTGTCGCGCAACATCAGCTTATACTTGCCCCTCGTGTCATCTCCCATGGATACAGTGACGGAACACAACATGGCGATCAGCATGGCGCTCCACGGCGCTATCGGCGTCATCCACTACAACATGACCGTCGAGGAACAATGCCACGAAGTGTACTTGGTCAAGAAGTTCAAGAACGGATTCATCACAAACCCCAAGTGCCTCGCTCCTAACAACACGTTGGCGGACGTCGACACGATCAAGGCCGAACTTGGATTTGCTGGCATCCCCATCACCGAAAATGGCAAGGTTGGGTCTAAGTTGCTCGGTATGGTGTCGAGCCGCGACATCGATTTCATCGAAAACCGCCAGACCCCGCTGAAGGACGTCATGGCAACCAACCTCATCACGGCGCTCGAAGGCGTCAAGCTCGCGGAAGCCAACCAGATACTCAAGGAGAAGAAGCTTGGCAAGCTGCCCATTGTCAACAGCAAGGGCGAGCTGGTGTCTCTGATTTCTCGTCGCGATTTGGTCAAGAACCGTGATTTTCCCCATGCATCCAAGAACGCCAACAAGCAGCTATTGGTTGGTGCCGCCATCGGCACGCGCCCCAACGACCGCGATCGCGCCGATGCGTTGGTCGCTGCTGGCGTCGACCTCCTTGTGATCGACTCGTCGCAAGGTGATTCGACCTTCCAGATCGAAATTTTGCAGTACCTCAAGAAGACCCACCCCCATGTGGACGTGATCGGTGGCAATGTCGTGACCATGCGCCAGGCGAAGAACCTCATCCTTGCCGGGGCTGACGGCCTCAAGATCGGTATGGGCAGTGGTTCTATCTGCACGACGCAAGAAATTTGCGCCGTTGGCCGTGCTCAAGCGTCGGCTGTGTACAATACTGCCCGCCTTGCCGCCAAGTACGGCATTCCCGTGATTGCTGACGGCGGTATCTCGAGCTCCGGACACATCATCAAGGCGCTGTGCGTTGGTGCTTCGGCCGTTATGTGCGGGTCGCTCTTTGCAGGCACGGAAGAAGCCCCTGGCCAATACTTTTTCCAGGACGGCGTGCGCCTCAAAAAGTACCGTGGCATGGGTTCTGTGGAAGCGCAGAGCCAAGGTTCGGCGAAGCGGTACTTTGGTAGCAACGCTGTTGTCAAGGTTGCCCAGGGTGTGAGTGGTGCCGTCGTCGACAAGGGCTCGTTGAACCGCTACATTCCTTACCTGCAACAAGGTATCAAGCACGGATTCCAGGACCTTGGCGCCCTCAGCGTGAAGACCCTTCACGAGCAGCTCTATTCTGGCGAACTCCGATTCGAAATGCGCACGCCGGCCGCTCAGCGCGAAGGCAGCGTCCATGGCCTGCACACGTACGAGAAGCGCTTGTTTTAGGCGGAACCGTAATGCAATTCATCCCGACCAACCTGTAATAACACTATTTACATTCCACTGTTGGAATTTGACCGGGGCTGTGCCAGTTTGGTTCGGAAATCATTGGTTCCACATGGCATCCAGAATTCAAATATTGGTGATAAAAGGTACAAATTTCGCGAATTCCTCATCTCGCAAGCCGTCTAGGTACATGACCACGAAGAATATTCTGTGGACGATGCAACACAGTAAATATTATTGGATACAATAAAAACAGAAATATCATTGATTGGTGAACTGAAGAATATTTCGAGGTTGCATTTATTAGTGTACAATACACTATTTTGTTTTGCGTGAAATAATTGTTGCCGCAGCCGCTGCGTTTTCATCCATCAGGGCACGGTCGACATGATGGACGGCAGAAAGCCGTCATTGTTCAGCGTGGGCAAGTGCCTCAATCCAACATGTGGAGCTTCCACCCTGAACCAGTACGTCCACTACTGCGATCGGTGGGCATGCCAATTGCTTCGTGGCTTGCTGCTCACTTGCGAGGCATTCGGAAATGAAGACACGCAGACGTTGGAGGCGCCATACCGTGCCGAAATGGCTGAGAACGCTGAAACAGAGGACGACAACGAAGAGGTCATGGTGCATTCTGTGATTTCGTCAAAGAAGCGACCTCTCGAGGAGTCGCATGGCGCGTCCAGAGCTGAAGGCCCAGTCAACACTGCTCCTCCTCCGGACGTCACACTTGCTGCCCATGCTCCTCCTCAGATGCCCAACGACGACCAGTATAAGATCCCCAAGAAGAAACGTGACGTAGTAGTCGACAACGTACCAATTCCCAAGAGAAAGCGCCAAGACATGCCGCGACGGACAGACCCTCGTCGACCGACGACGTCCAGCCACGACCGAACTCGTCCAGGCGCCGCGGCCGCCGCTCCGTCCAACCCATTCGAGCGTCTCGGACCCAATAGCAGCATATTCAGCCAAGGGTACGAGAACTCGGCCGCGAACAAGAAGGCTGACAAAAACACGATCATCTTTCAACCGGGCGATAATGGGCAATCGCCGCATCCACGGCACAAACACCCCACGGCGACGGCAGGTGCCAAGGCAGTTCCATCCATCGACCCGAGTGTACCAAGACGGGTTTCGTTCCATTCTGAATGGATTCAGCCAGCGTCCACGAACCTCAGGCGTGTTGTCGAGCCCGTTCCAATTCTAAAGATGCCAGACGACAGCTCGCGAAAACCGGCGGCAGGATCTAGAACCAACGGTGACCGCCCTGTGGCAACGGGTGGTCGGTCAACGCCAGCTGACACGGACAGGAACCAGGGCCGTGGCGGGGCATCCAAGAACCAAACGATATCCATGACAGAGTACAAAAAAGCCCGGCAGGCAGCGACGGTGGAGGACGATAAGGACGCGGCCAACAAAGTGAAGGAACGACCAACGGACCCACGTCGTGCGATGAAGCGTCCGGACGCCGCTACAACCGCTGCACTACCTCCACCTCCTCCAACGCAATCTCCTCAAGCGTTGTCGCATGTGTCAGCACAGCCATCCGCAGTTGGCAATTCAACGTCCTCGTTGCCACCGAGTAAAGCGACACCCCGGCCGCTTCCACCCACTGACCCACGCAAAAAACAACCCGTTCCCGCTCCCCTGGCATCCTCTGCCACCCCTTCCCCAGCCAATGTACCCGCAAACAGGCCACACGACCCACGAGCGCGCCCTCCGGTTGGTGCAATACTTCCAACTCCCGTCGACACCCCCCGAGCAACGGACCTCCCGCCTTCTGCCGAGCCCGCCCACAGCTCACCGCGGCAAGACGTCAACATGGACGAAGCCGACGACGACACTTCGTGGATGTTGGAAACTCCGCCATCCAAGTATGCGACCGGCGCATCCAGCGCGGCGGCGTCCGCCCTACCGAGCGACAAGTATGACATCGACATGAGTGGCGTGCACGACGCAGGAGACTCGTACGGCGACGACGAAGACAGTGATGACGGCCACTCCGACGTCAGGAGAACTCGGAACGGTCCAGAGCCGTCGCTCCACCCCCTCGAAGGAGAGTACATCGAAGAAGAATACGGCGAGGACGAAGTCGACCAAGAGCGGCCCCCGTTGGCCGTCCTTAAGTTGGCACCTGATGACCTGTACAATGTCGTGTGGCTGCTCTACGGCCGGGTGCACACGGCTCTCGTCAGCACGAAGCCTCCGCTAACGAAGAAAGCCGACTCGCATGCCCACTTAATGTCCCTCGTGCGAGATGTCGAAGCGATTCGCGACGCGCCGATTCGAGTACGCTGGCGTTGCTCGAAACTTGCAGTCGGCGTTCATTCGACATGTTTGTAGGTGACGTTTGACATCCGCGACCGCATGCGAGGGCACGATTCCCGCACCGAAGTGAGCGTACGGGTTGGCAGTCACCTGATCATGCACTACCTCGACAAGGGCTCCGAGTACACGGCGCTGCGCTCTGTCTTGCCCGCGCTGTACATGCAGTGCTGGGTGTGGAACATGATTGTAAACAATGTGCAGGCGGGCCTGTACAACACCCTGGACCAAGTGCTCAAGAAGTCGCGGTACTACGAGGTAGGCCGGAGCGATGTCCATCTCGGAAGAGGGTCGTGATGTGTTCTCGTGGTCAGTTCAACGCGGACGAGGGAGAGGACGAAGGGTCGCGCGTACTCGACGATGGCTCGGTCTGCTACTTCAAATGCATCTTTCGACTCCAACTTGGCCACGGCACCCACGAAAGTGATGTCGAGATCGCCAAAACGAGATGCTACGACAGCGCGTGGACGTTGTTGCAAGCAATGTGCAGCCGCATCTCGTTTATGTACCGCCCGCTCGAGGATGGTCGCGACGACAAAGGCGTCGGACCAGATCGCCCCAATGGCGACAACGCCGCCGCCGCCAACATGACGTCGTCGATGGCCCAAATGAAAGTCGACGGAGGAGTCAACTATATCCCAGTAGCGCCAGCATCCACCACCAACGAAACCCGTCTCGCGCACAAAGAGCGCGACGACGACTCGCCTGGGTCGTCCCCGATTTACGCTCCCCCCATTGTCCTTGGTCGGCTTCCTGACCAGTTTTCCGACGACGACGATGATATTTACGCGTAACTCGAAGTTCGTGCCCCTGGAGCTGACCCGTAACGCAGTCGGCGCCTTTGCCCATGTAGAACGTCATGTGTTCGCTGCGGGTCGAGTTGGCCAGCGCGCCGGCCATGAGTGTTGGGCCTGTAGTTCAATGAAACCATGCAGGGTGGACGTCCCCATCGCGATCTTAACAGCGCTCGATGCGGCAGCCGGGCATGCACATCAGAGAGGTCGGTCGGTGGAGCATTCCTACATAGGCACCCCAACTCGGCGCCAAATGCGATGTGGCGCGGACTTCAAAATGATTTTGCGTAGTAGTAGTATTAATAGCAGAGTGCGTGAAAGTCTAGTAGGTTACAGCAACATGGCAGCCAACGCGGCGGCACCGACGGACACGATGTGGAAGGCACCGGCGGCACTCGTCACGGACGGGGCACCAGGGACTGTGGGCTTCCCAGGAGCGGACGTGGCGTTCTTGCCAAAGGCACCCGTGGTGTTGGTGACGAGTGCGGTATCGGGGACCTTGCGTTCGGCCTTGGGAAGGGTGGGGAAGGCGGCAGCGTTGGCCGGCTTCTTCACACACCCGGCGGCATCACTCGTACACACTTCGCACACTTGAGCAAGGAGTTTGCGGCGGCACCCGAATTGGGCATCGTAGCACTTCTTCGAGTTCAAGTAGCAAGGCGGGTTCGCGTCCGACAGCTCCTTGACCGTCGGGAGCGGCGTCATGAGCGAGTTGGGCTTTTTCGCGACTTGGTTATAGAACGCCATGAGAGCGTTGGACCGCTCTTGGTTGGCCGTGCGGTTGAACGAGTCGCGCCAGAACGGGATCGAGTTGTTCAAGTCACGCGTATCGTACTCGACTTTGCCATCCTTGCAAAATTCGACAAAACTCGAGTAGTTGCGGCCGGACGTGCCGTACGGCATGGCCGTGATGCCGACGAGGTCGTCGATCGAGACGTACCCCATCACCTCAAACGAATACGTGCAATTGATACCGTTGGGTTTGGTGCCGCGGGGGCAGAGCCCGCCCGACTGCACTTTGCGGCACGCGTCCGTTTTCTTCCCAAACGGACTCAGGTAGCACGAGTTGGGAAACGAAAACCAAATGTTCTCGTCGTACGGAGCGCGCGGGTCGTCTTTGCGAGGTTCGCCGCCGATGAACGGTCCAAGCTTCGGGTAGCTGTCCACTCCGTCGATCTCCTTGCACTCAGCAGGGACAGGGGTCGCGGCATTGATCGGCGTGCAGATGCCGTTGTCCATGGCGACAAACGGGCCGTACTCGGGCATTTGCGAGTCCTGGAATTCCGCCAACATCGCATTGGGCTGAACGATCGTGATGTTGTAGAACCAAATGTAGCTCATGTTGTTCTTGCGGTAGCACGGCTGGTTGACGGCGTAGTCGATGCCTTCGGCTTGCAAGTACATGAGGGCGCCTTCAACACTGGCCGTGTTGATCGTATCCATCGACACGCGATATCGGTCTTGGAACGTGATGGCGTCCTTGACGAAGTCGGCGACGAACGCGTTGTGTCCAGGGCCGTTGTCGTAAACGGGAGCGAATGCTTGCACACGGGCCTGGATCGAGTTGACAGGCTTCATGGACCATGTCACAGGGTCCGCGGCAAGCGCGGCGGCGGCGGTGAGGCCAAGGACAGATGTGATGGTCGACAGCATCCAGAGATGTGCGCACCACGAGACCGATGCTGAAGTGAGCTCTTCGTGCCACAAAAACACCGCCGCCCTTTGCTCTGCCTGCCCATTACGCTACCGTGTGTATCGGTTTTCCCGACTTGCGATTTACGACGCCGGCTGGAGGTGGTTTCGGGAGATACCGGGTTATCTATCCGGTAAATTGGCTTGCGTATCTCGACTGTACATCCAGTCACGTTCACATGGCGGTCGCAATCCAAGCACGATGATTGTCCTACCTTCAGTGGCATCGATACTCTTATGTACATGCCAACGATCTCATAGGCATCGCGCTTTCTATCGCGTTGATTGACTTCTGCTCCAGAAGCACATTCTTCATGGGACGTCCCTGATGTGCATGTGTATGCAATGAATTGAAGATTTGCAGCGGGTTTTCCATCAAATACCCGGTAACATGGAGAGGTTGGTCATCTCCCCATTGCTCACTCGTACGCAGATGGCGTGCGGAAGAAAGCAGTAGGCGTCCTGCGTCGGCCGGCGCCGTCGGAATAGACGCAGTACTTGTTTGTATGAGGAAGAAACCAGGTCGTCGCATGGGATGCCGTGTGCTCATCGCGGGCCCCACGATCTCTCTCCCTTGCACTGCTTCGTTCGGACAGTCGAATGTTTCTGCTGGAACAAGCATGCGTTCTCGTCCATGGCAGGAACACACTCGAAAAATTCGATTCCACCCGAAAGTTGCGTCATAAATCCAGCTGGCATTCCGTCCTGCTCGTTGTGGGGGGTCACGGCAGGGAGCCCACCGCTCGAGCGCTGCATAACCACGATGCACGTGGTCTTGGTGTCTCTATCGGCGCCGTTGTGATGTGAGAAGGTAACTCGTCATGTGCAACATTGACACTGGGTGGCTAACGCGATACCCGCACAACACCGCCACCCGCCACCTGCCTTGCCATATGCCACTCTGAACGCGATGGGCGGCAGAACGGCGACCTGTCGGCGCGAAACCAGCGCATGTACAACGGGAAAAGAGACTGCTTTGCTACCTAATGCGCCATGCACACGCCGACGACGTATCGCCCCGTGCCATTTCGTCGGGCGTTGTTCCGAACAGAACAAGCTTTTATCTTGGAAATACTATGCGTACACGACAACATAATCGAGGTGGCATCCCATACGTTTTCCAAGTATATTCTGTGGTAGATCCACAACAATGGCGAATATAAAGTGGTCGGGGCAATCCATACCAATCCAGAAAATGCCGAAGTTCGTTGGAGCCCGAGCAACAAAACCGACGTCGTGCATGGAGGCGCCGCCGCCGGGATGCAAGTGGACCCGACTACGTGGACCATTGACATGGAATTCGCCTCGACACCAAGCCCCCGCGAGGTGTTGGAGCTTTACGTTACATGCATTTCTCCATGGCGATGGGTTCGCAATCATGACGCGAATGGCCGCAAGTCCGTTTGGGACATGCTGGAGGCCTTGACACATCCTGTGTTCATGGCCTTGTTTTTGGAGTGGGTGGCACTCGCTGCATCCTTTCAAAGTACCACACAGAGCAAGGCGCGGACGGTGCTTTCGAAGGGACAACCCTCCAGCGTTCGTCGTGACCTTGGGTGGAAAATGTGACCTTGGCTACTGTCCGTTCGCGTGCAAGTTTTCCGCCATCCATACGAATAAGTCATGACACTAAAGCATTCATGCACGTTAGTGGAGAAAGCTCCTTGGTCGGTGAGACAGAGTGAGGTTGCTCCACCAAGCCTTTCTGTCGAGCCTACAAGGCCCTTAGGACAGAAACTTGGCAGTGCGCGGCGCGAGGCACACGACCATCGTTGCAGAGCAGCCACACCGCACCGAGAAACGGAAAATGAAAAAGTACCCCAGGGAGGCCCAGGTGGCGGGTGCTCGAACAGAGTTGACTGTGGATTGCGAAGGGAAGAGTCCTATATTAGCCAAAATCACAGATCGACGCAGCAGTCGGCCGCTAAATCTTGAGCGTCACGGAACACACTAAAGTCTATCTGGGATTTCGTCGCTTAATAGTCGGAGCCTCCGCCGAACATGTCCATTCCGCCGCCCAAGTCAGCATCTTCTTCTTCCTTCTTCTCTTCCTTCTTGGCCGGGGCCGCAGCGCCAGCATCGGCAGCGGCAGCAGCGGCAGGGGCAGCAGCAGCACCACCACCGATGGCACCACCGGACGTGATCAGTTCGAGCATCTTGCCGTCCTTGGACAACAAACCGGCAAACAACGTGGGCCAGTAAGGTTCCACTTCGTTGCCCGAGGCAGCGATCACGGTCGAGAGGGCTTCCGACGTGATTTCGGCTTCTCCATCGAAGAGGATCAAGGCCGCATACGACACGGCAAGTTCATCGTGTTGTTCCTTGGTGATGGCCATAGCTCCCTTTACTTCACAGTGCGATAATAACGCTGGCTCCGACGCCCCCGCGAATCGGTTGGTTCCAAGTCGAAAACCTGTTCAACTCAATAAACCTTTCACATTCCATTTTGGCTTCCGGATAGTCGTCGAGATATCCGGTCCTGGCCAGCGACATTTCACACAAGTGCAGGTCACAGCCCCGCCAAGCACAATCCGCCGCGGCACAAGTGGCAGCCAAGGACAAAGACGCGTTATTCCATCAGCAGACTCGCGTACAAGAGGGAGATTGCGACTGCTACGCTTCGTTTGAATCGACCCAAGGCCACGACGAGATGGGCTCGCACAACCACCACCGGTTAGCCGCCAGTGCCATGTGCCAGTGGATATTTCTTTGAATATTCTTCCCATCTCTGGGGCAAATTTGCTCGTGCCGTTGGTGGTCGAGCCACGATGGAGCCGTTCACCCGTCGTGGGCGACGATTTGTGTAAAATACGACGGGGGGGGTTAGCTTATCGAACGAGGTTTTTTTTGCTCGACGACGAGGCCGACGCTGTCGTCGCACCCCCGCCTTCCTGTGTCTCTATCACGATCTTCTTCTTGACAAACTCGAGGAGGTCTTTCGCCGCCCTACCAACACATCCATGAGCCACGCGATCCACATAGTCCCATGGTCGTACTTGTAGTAATTGGTATCTGGTGCGTTGTACAGCATCGAGTTGTCGCACATGAGGACCAAGTCGTCTTTGAACGCTGCTTTCGTCGCGTACAAGTTTTCGTCGATTTTCTTTTGAATCGTGGAGAGGTCGATGGGGTGCTTGACAAAGTCCAAGTAGTCCGTCACGACCGTCACGTCCACGGGTTCGTGGAACGGCCACGCGCTGCGATGGTTTGAAAACGACTTCCACATCGACTGGAGTTGTTGTTTGAGTGTGCTCGAGTCGCGGCTCCTACAGTCCGCAATCAACATTCGTCCCACGCCCCTCCTCACGTACGTTCGGCTGCTTCGAATCAACGTCTGGCTCCACCCGGCCTCCTTCACGCCGGGCACGGCGTGGATGTTGACGAGCCGCGAATCGCAAAACGTCGTCAGGCCCGGGTACACAATGTCGGCCTTGGACCGCTTCTTGATCTCGTCCAGGATCATGCTGCGTTGGCGGTGGACCATCGACGTGATCTCGAGGTAGTTGATGTTGTGGTGGATCTGGCACTCCATGAGGGTGCCGCCGTCGTAGTCCTTGATGTACCCGAACCAGTTGGGTTTGGGCATCGACACGACCTTGGAGAAACCCTGCTTCTTGAAGTACCCGATCGCGTAATTGTCGGCGTACGTGAGAAAGTGCGTCAGCCCTTGCGACTTGACGTACTCCTTCAGGTGGTTCATCAAGCGCGTGCCGTAGCCCTTGACCTGCTCGCTTGCCGTGATCGCGCAAAATGCAATCTCGCCAAAGTGGTTGACCACGAACGGCCGATAGCAGATCCCGCCGACGACTGTCTTTTTGTTCTTGAGGATCACCATGCTGTGGTGGTTTCGATCAAACACGAGGCGAACGATATACTCCTTGGGCATCTTTGGAAGCTGCTTGGAAAAGATGTTTTTGAGCGTCATGAGCTGCACCATGCGGTCGGGGGTTCCGTCGTTCCGGATCACGCAAAACTCGAGCAGTCCAGTGTCTTCCTCCTTCTTCGCCATCTCGTCACGTGACATGATGGCGCTGGCCAAGTCGTCCGACGAAGCGTCCGCAGGGTCAACGTCGTCGTTTCCGTTGGCATCTTCGCGCTTTCGCTTGAGCGGAGATGACGAAATGACAGTTGAAGATGTCGTAGTGCTGTCACGTTGGCTTGCATTGGCGGTGACAGGTGTTGCGGTATCTACAGACTGTGCTGGGATGTGTTTCATTGTGCACGGAATGGCATTGTCGTTCAACGCTTCGTTGGTAGAAGGAGCTGTCGATTGCATAAATGCGTTCAATACATCTGCAGCAACTGGAGCGGAAGGTGCGTCTGCGTCAGCAGATGGGGGGAACGAGGATGTCAGTGAATTCTTGCTGTCGCTTTGCTCGCTGGTATATGTTGCTGAGGATGCGTCGTTGTCATGAGGGTTGCTGTCAAATTCGTTCTGCTCCTTATCACGGTCGAGTGGCTGTACAGACGCCACATTTGTTGAGTCAAGGTGCTCGACTACTACCTTCGTTTCCGAGTCGGCTCTTCCGGGGTCGAAGTCAGCGCCGTTATCTGCCTGCATGTCCACGTCTTCCACGTGCCTTTCGCCTGCTGAGGTGATGGATTTCACTTCTTTGGTTTCCACGTTCACTTTTGTGGTGGCATGATGCTCCTCGACTTCTCCACGCTCGGTCGACGACATGGGTATCGCCCGCACGATGTGGTATCGATGATTCTGTTTTGCCTCCAAAATTTAGCCAATCAGTGCATGCAAACGCTTTATTTATGGCCAATCAATTCATATTCAATGACCGGATAATATTATCCGGATTTCTCGAACACACCCACTGCAAGATACGAATTCACGACAATTGCGCGAAGATCACTTGACGTCCACAAGCGTGCTTCATGGCAAGGACCAGTATGGGGTAATACGGCCGCTGGATTAGTCATATATCTCGCCGCCGTCAACCAGAATCACTTCATGCACTAACTTCTCGTCGTCGGTACTGACGCCGGCCGCTTCCATCGCATCCACGACATGAAATCCGTCGACAACTTCGCCAAACACAACGTGATGGCCATTTAGTCCTGGAGACGGAGCGAGCATGATGCAGAACTGCGACTTGTTCGTGTTTGGTCCGTAGTTGGCCATCTGCAAGATATAACGTTTGCTATGGGTGAGCTCGAGGCCAGCCTTCTCATCCTCTGCGATGGATGTGACGACAATCATTCCAAAAGAAGGGACAAGGACAAGCAAGTCCTGCGTACCAAAGGTATCGTCGCCGCCGTAGATGCTTTTGCCCCCGTAACCTTTGCCATACTCAAAGTCGCCGCACTGGACGATGAATCCCTTGAGAATTCGATGGCACTTGGACTTCTTGTACGAATACCCAGGAACGTTGTCCCCCGTGACCAGTGCCCGAAAGTTCTCTGCCGTCTTGGGAACCAGGTCCATGTAAAGCTACGATTGACGTGCCAGTGACGTCGTAGAATGGCGACTCGGGCACGCAAACCTCGGTCGTGATTCGTCCAATTGGAACGCCATCGATTGCCACATCTAGCCACACATAGCGACGGCCACGTTGCCTTGTCCAGTTTCGAGGCACAATCGTCGACGGTGGAAATTGTGTTGCTGTCTCGGCTACGTCGTCATGGGCGGCTGCTGCGTCCACAAGTGCTGAAGGCTTGCGAACGTCGACATCAAACCCATTATGCACTGTTGACATGAATGCAACAACAAGCAGGGCCAGTCCCGCGACCGCAGAGATCGCAGTCGCGACATTTCTTTGCTTGTGTTC